TACCCGGGCCCTGCCACTGGAATAGGAGCTGGAGGGGCTGTGAACTGTGTAGGACAAACTACGGTGGGCACAAACCTCGCGAAAAATGTGAAAGCCGCTATCTGGAGCCAGTGTTTGGTTTGTCTGTTCTGGGCTACTGTAGAAACATGGTGGTTCAATATGGTGGACTCCATGGAGGGCGACCCGCTGTGTCTGTAGATAAAAACAGCTCATTCTAAGGGAAGGATATGCTAATGAACAGATCCTCCTAAATGTTACATACTGCACCTTTAAAGCTAGAGTGAACATACTGTTATCATATGAAACTAGAAAAACCTAAGGCATCAGTCGGTACCAGCAATGTCATGCAAGTGGGGTAAATAGAGTCCCAATGTTAGGCTACATTTTTGCAAGGGCGACACTTTCATGACCTTTGACCTCAAGATATCTAAATGAAAATTGTGTTCTATGGGTACCCATGAGTCTCCCCTTTACAGACATGCTCACTTTCTGTTAATCTCATTTCGGTTTTTCATTGTAGTGAGGCATTGTGACCTCTGGGACAATCACAGCCTCATGAACAACAACCAGTTAGCTGCAGAGGCCATTCAGAGGATGGATAGCCTTCCGAGCTATAATGCTACTACTTATTTCTCACCATAATTTAGTTGTAAAAAAAACAAACACTGTAGGCTGAGACTAAGAGGACATGAAGAAGTTCACTAGCATATTAGTTACATCATCGGAACTCGTTCTGGCGCCACTGCAATGCAGCCATTATTAATATTATGAATTAACACCTGTGCTTGTTCTGACCTGTGGTAATGTCTGCTTTAGAGAAGGCCTGGGGGAGTTTATCTATAAATATGACAAAAATGAACAAAGGAATGCAAATAAAGCTCACTTTCTTTTAGTTGCTGCAGTGGCGGGTTATCGCTAACGTCTTTTCATTTTGTCCCAAAGTGTTCACAACAGGAAGTGACACAGCTAGCAACAACTAGTTTTAGCTAGGCTGTGAATAATTGTAAAGCACGGCGTGTAACGTTAACGTTACATTACTTTAGCGGGAAAACGTTCACTGTATTACACCCAAATCTAATAAATATAACTTTTTACAATACGACTGAAAAATTAAATATATTACCTACCATTATCTCGAAAAAATATATTTGGATCAATCACAGGTGTGGCTAATTAGGTTTGCTGGAGCACCAATCAGAAGCGAGAACTGGGGCCATGCGCTACGCACATGTTTAACATTCACCAATTAGAATCAGTTGGCATCCGGACATTCATACAACACAGCAAGATTAACACGAAGTCTGTCAGCCTTCACCTCCAGCACTGTGTTACACACCGCAGTCCTCTGTTAATAGTTTGGGTTTGCTGACATCTGCTGTTCAATGTAGGAATTACATCAGTAATAGAAGGAAACTCCAGCCCGAAATAGATAGGCCTATGCATTTTTATTTGATGTCAGCATCAGATAAATGTGTTTGCACTTTAAAATAACATAACAGCATTAGTTTAACTTAAACACTAGTTTAACAGCTCCATGACAACACGTCAGTCTCTGTCTTCCATTACGGAGCTCCTCTCCAGAACCGGTTATTTACAACCTAGAAGTAGACTGGCAGTTTATGTCTAATTTAAGCCTGTACTCAGCAGCAGCTCAGCGTACATACATACATACATACATACACACACACATACCGCCTCCTGATTGGTCTATTATCTCAGATTGGAGCTCTGCTAAGTATCATTGCACATCTGTGTTCCTGATTGCTGCATTGTGTGGGTGAGAGGGAGTTGTGTCTGCTGCTGCTGGCATGCTGCTGTGTCATTGTTAGCACTTCCACCACTAACAATGCAGCCCCAGTGCTATTGTTAGCATTTCCACGGCCTGACAGGCTGGAGGCACCGATTAACAGTGCAAGCATTGTTTCAGCACATCCTATGGGCTGTGGTGTTTTATTTACAGGGAGCTGTAGTGCTATTCTCTCAATGTGCATCGGTGTGTACTCTTCTCGTCGGCCATTATTGCTCTCCATCCACTGACTCTAGTTACTTAAGAAGTGAAGAAAGTTCATCTAAATCTAAAACAAAAGCAATTTAGCACCACTTATGCTTCCTTGTTAGTCAACTTTGATGTCCACAAGATTGTTGCATCTTTATATCTTTATATCTGACCACAGCAGTTCTTAAATCAACACTTTAGTACAAGTAGGAACAACCTTGTTGCTGTGAATGAACCATGCAGATACCACTAGGTTCTCAGTCTTGAACAATACAGTGCAGAAGTATTTAGACAATTCTTGGGATGCTCCATTGGCCTAATGGTTACCACATAACTGCAACAACCATGGTCTGATTCCCTGCTGGGGAGCTCTGTCGCACGTCATCCTTCTCTCTCCTTATGTTTCTTGTCTCTCTGTACACTGTGACTGTCAAATAAAGGTAAAAGAAATCTTTCATTCACATCAGTCTTACTTTGGCTGTGTAATGAAATGAAACATGATTTATAGCGTTCAACCCAAGGGTGAAAATGTCTACCCGTGATGTAAATACTTCCAAACACCCTTAAAACTGTGAGTCAGCTCTTTCATCGCAAAGTCACTGTTTCATTCCAATCCAGAGTTGAAACAACGCTTACAGTTATAGGAGGACTTCACACACACACACACACACACACACACACACACACACACACACACACACACACACACACACACACACACACACACACACACATAGTAAGGGTCAGTTTAGTAGTCACAGAGAGTCCTGCTTTTGTGGCATCTTCACCCTTGTGTCACCCTCCCGTTCCAAGCGTGTAAGACAAACTACGGTGGGCACAAAAAATGGGAAGTGCCCTAACTAGAGCCAGTGTTTGGTTTGTCTGTTCTGGGCTACTGTAGAAACATGACTGTTCAACTTGGTGGACTCAGTAGAAGAGGACCTGCTACCTCTGTAGATACCTTCATTCTAAAGTAATGAAAACACAATTCTTATATTCAGGTGATTATACACTAATGAAAACATACCTATGAATATTATATTCCATTTCTGCCAGTAGATCCTCCTGAATATTACACACTGGACCTTTAACATAAAGACTGAGTCCCAAATTACAAGTGCATACTATGCAGGGAGTGTCTAACAAAATACACTACAGAGTTACATGCAATATTCAGGATTCTGTGTACACTGTTTTGTCGTCGGTCCCCTAACTTTATAGAAAGAAATACTACTCTGCTGGATAACTGTATCAAGACGAAGATTGCGAGACAGAGAGAGAAGGAAAGATTGATATGGAACAGGCCTACAGTATATAGCCTTCTTTAATTTCTCCAAGTGGATTATCTTGGCTAAATGACAAATTGAATTGGCTGCATGTGAATCTTAATTAATGAGTTGCTCACACAATGGTATCTCAATAAAATGTGTAGAATTGTAGTTTGCTTTGAACAGGGATTAATGACTAAAGGATCATTTGAGGATAGGTGGTTATGTTTAACTGTATTTAATTTGGGATTATTAACCTGCCTTTCATCAGCAGTCACTGTAATGATTCACCTTTGACACAGCATCAGGCGTAGCTGTGGTGTATTGTATAATTTGGGTTTGCTGACATCTGCTGGTGGAGAGTTCAGACTGAATATACGGTATCAGTAGTTATGAACACACAAAAGAAATCCTTTTACAGGCCTCTGGCAACACATTTTTTCTTTATTCAGAGTAAGATGTGTCAACATCCAGCATGACAAAAATTGTACAAAGTTCACAATTTATAAATGAAATATCACAGCAACTTGTGATCTCACACATTTATAGCAAAATTAAAATGTCAACAAATCCATGCTGTGTAGTACAAAAATAAATCAAACTTCAGTTCCACAGAGAGCACAATAGTTTATACAAAATCCTGTCTTTGTTAATGGTCACTGAAAACCAGTCTCAAAATGAATTGGCTCAAATAAAATAATAAACTCTGATGAATTCACAATAATTTATATGAAAAGTCAGCTTTCTAAATATGTGACAACCTTTTTGTGTTCCCTATAGATAGTCACAGATAACTCTATTCAGATTTGTTATTTATGTACCAACATCAGATGAGCAGCCGGTTTGTGCTTTAAATCCCGTTTCCCTTTTTACTGATAATGAGAATTAATTCAAAAACTGGTACTAGCTATTACTCTACTGAAGCATTACTATATTGGCAAAAAGCTGCAGACACGATGCTGTGGAAAAAGGCGTATGCAGTCATGGATGATGGGTAGTAGAGTCCTGAAAGAGGACAGTAAAGTACAATAGATGAGATTCAATCAGGTGAACAACAAGCACCTTTTGCATTAGCTCTCAAAAAGGCAAATTCTGAACATGATCGCTAACAACTAGAACAACAGAACGAAGGGGTGCATACAGTCAGGCATACGGGCGTCACGCTGGATTGTATCACCCCTCGAAGGTCTCGTTCACCGTTTCTTCTGCTTTTTTTAAAACCTTGAATTGATTGACTATTTAATCCTTTGTACAGTGATTAGATATAAAGTGCTGCTGGGGGATAACTTCATCTTCCTAAAACATAGCAAAAATGAAAGAACATTGTTAATGTTTTTACACTTGATAATAGCCTACAGTATAACTGCTATGGTTATAATCATCCTCTTCTCTGATTTCAAGTCCCTGTTCTTCCTCTCTCAGTGGTACTAAATCCACACCTACAGTGGCTCCAAGCAGTTGGTTGCTCCAATCGTGTGCCAAAGAGGTCACCTGGAAAATTGCACGCCGCCGTACGTAAGGATAATATCTTCAAGGACAAGTGCAAATAGTCTACTGGCACATAAGTGGGGACAGTGACCCTGTAAGTCCCGCTGTCATACTCTATAAATACTCTTTACAAAACCCTCTGAAACCCTCCTTTTAGGCTCTCGGGTACTGCTTTTAGTTTCTGTAAGAACATCAAAACATGGAAACGAAGGTGTCCCTGTGCAAAATCGTACAGAAAAAAAGTGGAACTCATATACTTTCGCTTCTAAAACTCAATGTCCAGGTTCCCTCCTCTTTTTTAAAAAGACTTTTTGTATTAAAAGATTTGTATAAAAATCAATATTTTACATAGGCTATATTAAAAAGATTCATGTTACCCCGCTATGCTTATAAACAAGAAATTGCATATACCCAACATTTTTTTCCTTTGCAGATTGCATCCCGTACCTACTATAAACAAATTATTCACTTATTATATTGCTGAGACATTTCTTGATCCTAGCAACACGAGTCTCGAAATTGAGCAGATTTGATACTAGAAAGGCTAGAATGTGGTCTCTATAGGTCATTGTCTTTACACATCATTTCTGTTTGAGATTAGTTAAGGATGAGCATGTGAACATGCATGCGCTGCACAGATGTCTTCCTCTAGGAATTAATTGGCTCTCCTAGATAATGGGATTTCCACCATCGGGTTTCCGTGTAATGATGTTTACAATATAACTGTTCATACATACATTCATACATACATCAGGTCAGTTTCCTCTCCAGATTCATCTACAGCACCAATTAAAAATGCCCCCACCTACAGCTACACATCTTTTTTTTCATCAAAACAAAACACAAACGTTTCTCAAGCATTGTCAGAAAATAAAGCGATTCGCAAACCAGTTCTTGCTCTTGAACAATGTACACGCAAAAAGAAGAAGAAGAAAAAACATCTAAAATCATCAAGTCCAAAATCATCCAGTGAGGAGAAAAATAAGTAGCTTCCTCCTTGCTTGTAGTTTTTTCATTTTTATTTCACTGTCCAGTTTTTTCATCTAAAATGCTTTGTTGTCAAGCAATAAAAAGAACTTGCGTTCCGTTATCATTAGCTTACTGTTCAGAAATATACACTAAAAATGTGCATACATGAGCAGCTAGAAACATTACATGACACTATGTCAGCTCATATGAAAACGTACAAAATGTGAATGTCCTCAAAAACTATTTTGCCGGTTACTCTTTTATGTTCTTCCTCAAAGCAAGGCCTAAAAAGAAAAGAACGAAAGAAAGAAATTATCTCGAGGTCTTTCTAAGCATAATACCTCTTTTTTTGAGAGAACAGAATTTAGAATATATAACACTATATAAGTTACTGCACCGAACCGAGGAGATTAACCCATCACTGCCTGTTCGTATGTGGAATTGATACAACACCCACACCTGCTTAGGGAACAAAAATCTCCCTTTGCTGAATGGTTACACTTGGATCCCTTGAACAGCTTGCTTGATGTTTTCCAACAGGGCTTTGTTTTCCGGGCTCTGGTACTGGTCTTGGTTTGTGTACATATCCGTTAGAGTGGTCACGTAGGCGTCAAAGTTCTGCTCGCTTATTGGCTCCTGCAGGACCAAAGACACAACGGAGGAAAACAGAGGTAAGGATGGATTTAAGATGACCTCAGACCTTCTCATCACATATGCAAAGTCCCAAGAAGAAATATGAGTAAATATAACTCTGTTAATGTATTTTTATGAGTTGTGTATCAACAAAAACGTGATGAGATCATTGGCTGTTGACGCTGCTTTGGCTTCCACCGGATGAGAGCAAGTCAAAGTTACAAATAAACACAACTACTTTCACAACAGCACTACACTTTCATGCTTCCATCGCATTCACTGATCGTTAGTATTATAAAACACACTCAGAAAAAATGCTGTGTAGTTTATGACAAGGAAAAGGGCAGGAACAAAGGAGAATGTACGGAAGTACATAAAGGCCATAATAATGTCAGTTTTATAAGCGGATGAATACCTACTTGTGAAACTTAATTACTACTTCCATTAAGCTCGATTAATCATCCTCCATAGCTTATGTTTTATTTGAATTTTCCACCTTGAATTCTGGTGTCTGAATCTAACCAACACAATCTGAGTGGCATCTAAACTGAACACAGCTCAGCTTTCCAACAATGTAGTAGAAACTACGAGGGCGCGAAACGTGAAAGGCGTAGTCTAGAGACAGTTTTCATACCTATGAATATTATATTCCATTCCTGCCAATAGATCCTCCTCACAATGAATCAAATCCTTATGGCCTTTCTTTGCTTCCATACTAATGACAATATCTAGAGGAATATTGAAATACAGAGCATGAAATGATAGACGTTATTGACTTACTTGCTGGTGCATCTGTAAGCAGCTGTTATTCCTTAAAGGAGGCTCTTTATGTGCCAGTGGTTTCTACGGGAGGAAAGGAGGGACACATTTCTGTTAGCTTGCTTTGAGAAACTATGTTTATACATGTATACACTAGGTGGCAGTATTTGATATACAGCCATATACATAGAACCTCAAATTAACAGGAAAAATAGAAGCAGGACACAGATGAAGACATACAAGACATTAAGATAAACACAGAGCCAGGCCAGCCCACCAACTCCTTCAATTAATTTTACTCCAGTGTCATGGAGTTTTTTCATCTGAACAACAGCTGAAATATAAAAGGAGGATGTTTTTAAAAATGGCTTGCCACTTAGACGAGGATGCTTAACTGAGGAATAATTTATTTCTTTGTCAGTGAATGTTAAATAAGCCATTATGCAAGAGGATATCATGACAGAATGCCATTGTATGGGTGAAAAACAGGATGAAATAGTGTTTGATTACTATGAAACTCAACAGAATGGAATACTTCTTGCTTTATGTTCAAGAGGCAAAGAAAGATTGAATGATGCAGACAGAATAAGGTAATATTCTGTTTAAAAAAGAATAAAGTACACTCTACAATAAAGCCTTTAATCATCACACCTCTCAACGCACAGACAAGACCTCACTATATACTGTATTTACTGCTGTTTAACCTAAACAGTTGAATGTAGCAATCATTTCTGTTGTTAAAGTTGCTACCACTGTAAAAAATGCCCAGTCAAACCTCATTTCACAACTCCCCCTCACTGTTTGGAAAGACAAGCAATGCTGCACATTTTAGGCATGCACAATAGACTGTGGTTAAATATACAAATGACTGAATAAGCTGCTATAATGCTACTGTTAGCTATATTCTGCAACTTGCCGGCTAGCCGTTCCTGGTGGCCCTTACCATATGAGGGAGCTGGACATTAGCTAAACTGTTAATCAGTGACTGGCTGAGGTTGGCCAGCTCATGCAGGAGAGATTCATTTTGCTGTTCAATCACCTTGTTTTCCTCCTCTATGGACTTCAGGCTGGACTCCATTGTTGTAATCTGAGGAGAGGAGGGGGTGGATGTCAGGATGTTACAGTGCAGCTGTGTATTCACAGGCTAATGAATGTAGCAGACAGGAAGTGACTTACCTGTGTTCGAAGTTTGATCATGTCTGCTTCCACTTGTGAATTTGATTCACTTAAATCTTTGATTTCTTCATCCAGCTGTTTGATCTCCTCTTCGTGCTCCAGTCCTACAAAGCAGGAGCCCCATTAGCACAGACATATCACTACAAAGCCTCAGTCATAAATTAGATTAACAGCCTTTATGTTGGGCTGAAGTAATTAAAAAGGACACAATATGACTCTATAGCTACGTAAGAATTGTGCTGGTCACTGTGTGCGACTGTCTTCACCTCTACAATAGAACTGGGGCAGGTCATTTGAGCTGATTAAGACTCAACAATCTCACAGACAAATTACATTATGATCCTGTCACATCCCTTTATGAAGCGTCGAAATTCAAGTCCAGGGTGAAGTGTTAGGAAAACAGATGGCGCACACAACCACAAGCCAGCTCAGATATTCCTTGTCTGATTACTGCCAAAAAAGCCCAGCCCCATTCTTCCAGATTGGAGCCACTTTTCTCATTATTTGCACCCTGCCCCTGAATGGCAGTTTATTTCCAATTTAAGCCTTTACTCAGACAATGCTCAGTGCACACACACCCTCCTGATTGGTTTATTATCTGAAATGGGAATTCTGTTCAGCAAATCATTCCACATCCATGTTCCTGATTGGCGGTATTGTGTGGGTGAGTGGTAGTTGTAGTTACCGTTGCTGGCACGTTGCTGCTTTATTGTTAGCATTTCCACTCCAGAGAGCCTGGCTTTCCTCATGGCGGAGGTGGCACGTGGACAACCCGACAGACTAGAGGTAGCAACAAGGAGAAGAAGCATTGTTTCAGTCTATTCCACACACACAATGAGTCAACATGGTTCATAGCTGGGTTTATATATAGGGAGGCTGAGGAGAAATATTCCCTTAAATTCAGTCTTGAAGGAGTGGTCCGACATCCGCTCTCTTGCCCTCTTGAGAGTTTGATGAGAAGACTGTAGCTACAGCCAGGAGACATTAAGCTTAGCCTAGCACTGGAAATTGAGGGAAACAGCTACCAGGCTTTGTCCAAGGTAACAAAATATACCTACCAGCACCGTTAAAGCTCTCTAATTAACACATTGTACCTTGTTTGTTAAAACTGTACAAGAAACAAAGCAACAAAGCAAACCAACAATTCAACATTTCACAAGGTTATGTGCTTGCCAGTTTCTTGGACAGGACCAGTGCGTTCTTAAAGTCTCCTGGTTGCAGCTGGTGAGGTCAGTCTTTTTTTTTTTATATAATTGTGACTAGTATTGATCTTCTCATCTAACTTTAAGCAAGAAAGTTAACCATTCCTTTAGCTTGGAGCATCAACTGTTCTCATGAATCACAGCTTTCCATCCTCTAAGATCCAAAGTAGAACGTTACATTAAATCTGTACTCTTCATTTAATTTATCTTTGTAATAGAAATAAGTGTAAAGGTTCCCTGTGGAGGTTTTAAGCTCTGATAGTGCTATGGAGCTTTTTTTTTGTGAGTGGGTCCTTGTTTATATGCTCCTGCCAATGGTTTCGCACTATTCCACTGATCTACGGGTGGCAGTCACATGCCACAATATGCTGCAATTGGCCAACAAAGGCAGGGAAGCAGAAGACTGCTAGCAAGTAAACATATATGTAAATAATGCAGGATCTAAAATAGTTCTGCTTTACATTTCTTTTAGGAAGGATATGCATTTTACAGGTTTGCTCACACAGTGCATTTTGCTGAGTAATACTGAATGTAAACATAACTTTTGTTTGTTGACAAGCGAACTCCACAGGGCACCTTTATGCCAGGAACAGCAACAACACACAGCCAAGTTCCCTGGACCCACCTGCGATGTGTCAGGAAGCTGCCGCTGACGTGACCCGAGCCGTCGCAGCCCGGTGTGGGGCAGGACATGCCCTCTGTCTTGCCAGACTTCCATGTGAACTGGATGCCATTTAGGTAGCCGTCCTTTTGTCTCTTGGCTGCTATGGGGCATCCTGATGCACTTCTGTGGGACGCATACTTCCCTGTCACATGTCCCTGACCATCACAACCTGGGACAGGACACCTGGGGGGACAGAGTGAAAAGTTCTCAGAGAAGACTCACAAACAGTTTATTCATTATTTTATTCAAACGCAACCTTCCTTTGCTTCATTGACACTTCAAAGTTGATACCATCATATTGGAGACATCATGCTTTTTTCCACCCAAGAGTGACTGGCTGAGTCTCAGCTACTGGCTCTCTGTCTGCCTCCTGAGTACTGAAACACCATATACTGTATGAGCGAATATCATTTGTCTGGTTCCCTCTATATCTTTTGCTTTCATATAAACAAAGATACCATCATCTTATTTAAAGCTGTCCCAGTGGCAGCCTTATCACAGTTTTGGAATGCTGACAGTGCATCAACACCAGTACTAATCAGATGCAATGAGGCAGTAAAATATTCCATATGTCACACCTCACAAAATGGATTATGGCTTAAAGCTAGCTACGTTTGGGAAAGTATCAGTTCTGTCTGCAAAATAACAGCTACCTGGTTTTAGTTCAACTTTTTTTTTTCAACGTTTTTTGACAGAAAAGAAAAGATACAGGGGGTATCTTGTGCACTGCTGTCTGCCACAGTGGTTCCTTCTGTGGTATTTGAGATCTTTCTCCCAGTAAATATATGGCAGAAGTCAAAGGAATTTGCTTAGCTAATCCATTCACACAGGCTTCCAAAAACCTTAACCCAATGAAATATGAAATATTTTGTTTTGTTTTACCACATTCTGCCAAAATTCTAGTCATGTTCAAATTCCAAGTATTGCTGCCACACCATGATGAATCATTACTTATAAAATTGTTGCTGAATTTGTATCATTGTGGAGTGAACTGTGTGGCACTTTGAGATAATCCTCACTGTAGTTGTGGTTGGAAGGAAGAATAACAATACCCACCCCTTTTACTCCTCTAATATTTCTGTACAGTCCCTCAGTGTTAAGAGTCAAACCAGGCCTCCTAGCATGAGAGCCAGTGCAAGTTTTAAGAGTAATAAATGAGCACACAAAGGTCATTCTCTCTACCCTGAAGAGGGCACACAGACTATTTAGAGAAGGTGTCTGAGCATAATAAGCTAAAGAGAAAGGGTGACTAGGATGTCGTCATCCAAAAAGGGAAAACTGAAAGATGCAGAAGTGGTTCTTGTACTCCCTTTACATTAAATACTGAAGAAAAATAGAAATGCCTTTAATTTAGTGTTTGTTTGTTAGTTGTAATGTGCTTCATTCTGTAGCTTTTCAAATTTCATTTATTAGTTACAGCCACCATGTCTTACTCTGAAGCCAAGAGACTTTACTCATCTCTGTCGGTTCCTTTCTATTTTCCAAAGGTCAAATAGTGGATGAAATATTTTACAAAGATAATTAAACGTCAGCAGAGCATACTGACAGGGAAACCTGTGGCAAATTGTCCTCAGAATCCAACAGAATGACAAGATGGAGAATGGCCAAAGTGTGTTGTTTGTGCTCTGCACCACCAGAGAAATCAATGCAGCTGCAGGGCGGAGGCCAGAGAAGCCCATTGTGGGATTTAGGTAGAGTCCAATCAATCTCTCTCTGCCTCTATCCTTCCCTCTCTGTCTTTCCTTACCTGTGTGTCTGCAGGAGTTCACCAGAGACTGCAGAATCTCTAAACTGCAACAACCTTGTTCTTCTGAAGTTTCTCCTGCACCTCTAGATGTGGGTTGAGACTTCACACTCATACCACATTTGTCTTGTCAGAGGTAATACTGATTTATTCCTTCTTGCGTCAGTGCATGTCAAAGAGCAATGCGCTCATTAGAAAATAGTATATTGCTCTTTTGTTCTTATTTACACATCATTTTAAAACAGGAAACCTGAAGTTATATGTCATTTTTTATATTGCACATGGGGAATGTAAAGTAAGCAGTGAGCAGTGTTTGTAGCAGGAGGAAGAGTTTCAGTATCAGGGTTTTAAAGGGGAGACAGAAGACTGATGATCAGTGTCTGTACAGTACCTGATAGGCTCCTGGTCCTCCTTGTTCTCTTTACTGTGGATGATCTTTATCCCACTTTTCCTGGCCCGCGGACACCCTGAGAGACTGCAGATAAATGACAGTGTTACAAAGTTGAAGCATACAGTACGTGTGTGTGTGTGTGTGTGAGAGAGAGAGAGAGAGAGAGAGAGACAGGAAGGGGAGGGGGTGAGTAGAAGCAGAGTAAAGTAAGAACTTTTTTGTATGTGAGACAGAAGAGAAAGACGTATTGAGAAAAGGGAAGAAGTTGTTCATGTATGTAATGCTGCAGAATGTGTGTCGTACCTTCTGTGTGAGGCGTAGTTGCCAGTGATATGTCCCGAACCATCGCACCCTGGTGTCGGGCACCTGGGGCAGAAAACACAAAAAGGGCTCAGGGCCTACAGCAACAGTGCAGTATCTTGAGGATAACATACCCCATGCCGTGCATACAAACTATAGCTTTTACAATCGCTGTTGCAAAAGTACAAAATACACTATGACGGTAGGGAGGGGGGTCCTGTGTCGTGTGCGGTGGGCTAGGACAGACTAGGACTACTGTGCTGTATATCAGTCTCTCAATCAAGTATCTATACAACACAAATAAATGAAACACCCCATATTTCGAGAAAACAATGTGATAAAATGTGATAACAAACATTTTTTAAAATGATCTCCAGAATAAAAGTGAGCCTATGTGGTCCATATATAGTGGAGCCCTATTGCTATTATTTTTGTTATTTATTTTTATGTTTTTTTGCAGATGGACAATACACAATAGAAAATGCTGGCTCATGAATATTCATTTAAAAAAAGAAAAGACTAATGAATTTACTAAAAGGGCACTGTAGTTTTTAGCTACTCAAAAATAGTAAATAGTGCATTTGTTGGATTTTCCGTGGCGGATTAATCCACAGTTGGTGAGTGAGGAAGGTGAGGTGAGAGTATTTGGGGCACCGGAATGTATATGTGAAAATAAACCACAGTGTGTGTGTTCATGGTAATGAAGGAACAGGTCAGTGCCAGTGCAACAGTGTGGCTCACTGATGTGTTTGTTTTTAGACAACTAAGGAGCTCAATGGCACAGAAGAATCAGATATATCAGGCTCTGATACACACATAGTACTTGTTAGCAAGATCAATGGATGGTTGGTTTGGGTCTTTTTAAGGGATTTGTAATACAATACCAAAATATTTTTCTCTAAAAAGCTGTAAAATAAGCTCCATGACTCCATATTTGAGGCATTTATCATCTCTAGCAATAATGTGCTTTACATTTAACACAACATATATAAGGTTGACCTAACTCTAGGCAGAATGAGCATACATATACAAATCATACATATATCAATGAGTCATCTCACGCCTTACTTGAGCTCTTGCGCGTTGTTGGCCAGCATACTTCGAATGCTTTTATCAGCTAAAGGACAACCTGAGAGACTGAAAAATACATCAGTGGAACATTAGTTAGACCAAAATGACAAGTCACCCCGACCACTGTAACACAAAATAATCTCTCAGACCACACTCGTATCCACATACACACATAAACAAACACATACATACATAAAACATCAACCAGGAAATGCAAAAAAGCCATGATGCAAGTGCAGGGAGTTGATTTAAATAAGTTAACCCTCTGAGTATTTGTATTCATACGTAACAACTAGGATGTCTGGGGTTTCATGCATGGTCTGTTCTGCTCTGTATTCAATTCGGACTGAGTGAATAAAAAATTGTAAATTGACATATGGGCTTTTTTTTCAAAGATTACAACTTAGTTGGAATCGTGAGCTTGTTCAGGGGAAATCTCATATACGTGCAGCCACGTCAGCCCCCAGACTGATATCATTCAGTCCTTGCAGACTCACCTCACTCTGCAACACTCAGCAATTATGCTTAAGTCTTCTGCTCTGAATGGTAAATGCTTAGTCTGCATCGCACTGTGGGAAGAGCCTGGAGGACTGAATAACATCAGCTTAGAAGGCTTTACACATGGCCCATTGAGAAATAATTTTTATCCCAGGGTTTAGCTTAAAAATTAGCATGTATCCAATCTTTAATTAATTTAGTCTTGCCTTATTTCATGATACCCTTGTTTCAGGATGTCAACTTGCCAATAGTCAAAGGGCTAACAAATAAGAGAGAGAGAGAGAGACATTCTGCCTACAGGTGTTTGACAGCATAGTCGAGGTAAGCTGAAAACAATAAAGAGAAATAGACTTAGAATCCACCAGGAGAAAAGGAAGTCACACCTTCGATGTGAGGCGAAATTGCTCGTCAAATGACCACTTCCATCACACCCCGGTGTGGGACATCTGCCACCGGAAAAATAGACAGATTTATAAGCCCAAAGGGAAGGAGAAGAAAATGTGAAAATTACAAAAAAGAAGAGTTGTTTCTGATTTGTTTTATTGTTGGTTTTCATTGTTTCCAGTTTAGCTTCACTGTCTGTGATTAATTTTGTGGTTCCTGAGATCAGCTACACTTGATATGGCACAATACTGACAACTAGCGTTGTGTCTTATAAAGATAAAGCATATCAAAGAGGGAAACTGCACTGAAGGCATCAGCAGAGAGCTACCAGCTCTAAGATCAGTGTGGACAAATGGATGAAGCTGTTAAATAAAAGTCATATAGCAAGCCAGCAGCACAGGATGGGGGGAGGGAGAGAGAAAGAACAGTGGTTCTCTGAGGTTAACTAGAGCAAAGAGGAGGAAGGAACCAAAAGAAAGAAATAAAATGGAGGAGGGGGGCGGAGCAGAGCATGAGTGGGGAGAAGCAAGTGGGGTCAGGTGGATCGAAGGAGCACTGGGATGTTGGGAAGAGTAGGAGAGCTCTTACGTTATCAGGTCCTTCTTACTCTCTTTGCACTGGACATACTTGGGCTTGGGGCTGGGCATGTTAACATCTGTGGTGTAGGAGCGGTCGTCCAGCAGGTCATGGAAGGGATCCAAGTCATCCGGCTGAGTTTGGGGAAAGGAGGGAAGAGAAGAAGAAGAGACAAAGGGGAGGTGGAACACAGGGAGGGAAAGGGAGAAGAGAGTGATGAAGACAGACTCTTTTGTATCTCCCGCCATCATTATACAATTTCAGAAATCATGCTGTGTGCACATATTACACAACAAATGCACTCAATCTGAAAGTTAGAATGCATTTCATTAATTGGCACATGATGAAAACTTGAGTCTTTTCCCTATGCCTTCCTTACTTCTTTGTCTGTTTTTTTCCACACACACACACACACACACACACACACACACATGCACACCTGTCAGACCATAGAGTCTTGTCAATTTGAATGCTAATGGTTGAGCCTGTGTGACTATTGAGCCTCACCTGTCAGTCTAACGGAGCTAGAAAATAGAATCCCTGGGAGGAAATAATGACTCAGTGCCAAACGAACAGTGTGTGTATGTGTGTGTGTGTTCGCAGGCTCACTCATGGGTTTGTTCATGTTCATAGAGCATTCTTGTGTGCGTGCGAGTAAGGAACATTCAGGGAGTTGGCTGGTTATATTCTTGTAATGCACCAGTCAGTCACTAGATGGCACTGCGATGTAGTGTCAGACCGCTGCTGTTATGTGGGGCTGTGCTTTGTCTGCAGTGCATGCAGCCAGGGCACAACGGCTGTTGATGCAAATCCTCTTTCTTTCTTTCATGCTCGCAGTGTATGTACAGTAATGCCCATAAAGAGACAGGTCCAGATACAGCCCAAATTATCCAGCGCTCAAGCTGTCTCGGAGTGTGTGATGCTAGGTCAGCGAGCGAGCTTCTCCAATTAAAGGGAGCGCAGGCTGAGAGGCAGACAGGAAGGAGAACGACACATGCATACATACAGAGACGCAGAGCAGAAAGTAGGCTAGGGATGCAACTCGCATATAAGCACAGACACACTCCCAAAGAGACATGGGTACAGACACACACACTCATATGAATATTCACATTTCACACACACCAGCAGAGGCACATGTACTGCACATGCATGCGCCTGTGCACGCCGACAGGCGCACCCAGCAGTGGTGCATTGATTTCCAGCAGTTCTTTGATGAGATGAGCTATTCCGATTCCCTCCCAAGGTGCTACTTTGCATAATTCATTTTGGAGAAGAGCGAAATGTAAAAACAGAAAGCCAGCATGCGGGGAGCATGATACAAACAGAGCAGATACCTCTGTGCATGGCAATGCTGACATCAATTAACATGCAGATTCATTAGGTTTCCCTCAAAAATCCCTAATATGACTTTCTAATGATTTGACATATGACAGTGAGTCAGACGGGGAGGTAAGAAACCAGGAAGACAATCAGACGGCAATGCAAATGTTTGACTTGGAGACACTGTGTTGAATCAATGGCTTGGAGGGAAATTATTTGGGCTGAGAGACATTGAACAGACAGTCTAAGTGCCAACTGTAATATCAGCTTCCAAAACCACAAACTATCATATACTACTGCTTTATAATTATCATCAACGGCATCACTATCTGTCATTTGTTTTCAATCTCTCTCTTATTCTTCTCTTCATCACTTGTCATCATTTCTATCTCAATCCCGATATCGTCAAAAACATCTTGAAGGAAACTGAATATGTGATGGAATATTCTGAGGCAAAGGAGACAGTCTTATGGGTTTAGCTGATCAAAAATAAAATATTTGCCTGAATAAGAATGATGTATTATTCTGCTTCATATATTGCAATTGTAATTGATCTTTTTAAGGTGATTCAACCAGCTTCTTCTATATTTTAAGGACACTGAATGATTAAGTTCAGGCAGAGATCCGCCCGCCTTCCAGAAAAACTTATACATAACATCCTTTATAATTCATCTGGCCACAACCAGACATTAGTGGTCAAGTGAATTTCCAACATTGTCCTTGTCGTTTTGCCCTTTACCTCTTTCTCGTCCTCGTCTATGTGTTTGATCTTGGTGTAGTCTACAGGCAGGTCCCAGCAGTCGGCGGCATCCCCCATGCCGTAGCAGCGGGAGCCCAGCAGGGCGGCTTGCCTCTGGGGGGACATGGGCTCTAGAGGGGTGAGCACCGAGTCCCCTCCACCACCGCCGCCGCTGCACAGACGCTTGCTCATACTCAGGTCCAACGTACCATTTTCATCAACATCTAGACCGGGGCTCTGGAAAGTGTATGTGGATGTGGTTTTTGTGCATGCGTATATGTGTGTAGGGGTAAATCAGGTCAGTATATGTGGAGGAGATGGGTGTGTGTGTGTGTTGAGTGTTTTCAGTAAGATGATTATGAGGAAGGGTAAAAGGATGCACGGAACATAAGAGGCAGGGATAGAGAGAAAGGGATAAAAGAGAGAGAGAGTTTCTGATTAAATAGCAGTCAAACATATTCATACTCTGGGATCAGAGCTGGGCAAAACAGTAGCTGAATACATGGTGAATACTAAAGAAGTACATGAAAAGTGCTTGAATTTTCTGTTCCTCCAGTGATGTGTTCACTTGTGAACTTTTTAGATGTCTGGAAATATGGATCAAGAACACCTGCAGTTCAAATACCTGAAACAATATTCCAATTTATTTTTTGCCCAAGTCTGCCCGGGATGAAACATTAGACACTTGCAGTGTACAGTAACAATGTGGAGGTACACTTATAAGAGGGACAGAAGAAGAAGAGGTCATCAGTGCTGAAGGACGAGTGCATCCCTCTGTGAACCCCTCCTTTTCTCTTTCTCTCTCCGCCTCTCTTTTTCCTTCCATCCCACTATGGTCTCTACTGTGTTCTGTGCAGTCAGACGTGTGCGTGTGTGCATGACTTTGTGTTTGTGTGTGTGTGAGACTAATGTGAGTGGACATCACAGGAGGGCAGGGGCTGAGGGTTAGGGGTGGGGTTGAGAGCAGTGATGAGCAGCAGTGGCTGGAACTAGACTGCTGCAAACCCAAAAATAGAGGCAGAACTATACTGTGTTCTGGAACAAAGTGGGCCACATCCAACAAGACTGACTGCTAACTAAAGCATTCACTTTGCCTCCTGAGCGTAGGTTGGTATCTATATACTGATGCCTTTTCTTTAATCTACATCTGGCACATACTCTATAGACCAAAAGAGTCCCACTGCAGTAAGGATTATGTTTTGGTAGGCATGTGTTTATGTCCTTGCTCTCGTTAATATCCCTCTCTCTGACTCCCTGTTCTCATCTCCCCTCTCCTCCTCATCCTCCTCGCTCCCTTTGCTCCCTTTCATAAGCAGGAAAGCCCGCTCTAATGCTGATTCCAGCTGACAGTGTCCCTAGGGGTGGATTCTCCTGGTGTCTGAAGCCAAAACCTCTGTGACGCACATTGACTCAAACGCACAGGGTGATAGATTTGGGGCTGGGCGTGGATACTGCAACAACTGTGGCTGAACCAAAGACTTAAAAATAGGAGAAACAAGGCCTGAACACTGCTGGGTCATTTGTCTGTGGAGGAAAATATCTTGCTTTGAATAATAAAAGGTACAATATAAAGTTGTGAATCATGCAAGACAAACACAGAGACGATGGGGGGCTAAATACAATGACATTATAAGGCTGAGCAGGCACAATACAAACTGAGCTTTTACAATGGAACCTGTCTGCAAAACTGTTACAGCTGACATTATTCCAAGCTGTAGGTGTCTGCTTCTATCAAACACACACTCACTATTAAAACACTAAAGGCTGAAGTGTAGGTTTGAGGCCAGGATCTTGAAAGAGAGAGAGAAGGAGGCAGAAGATGAGTAGGAAATGAGTAAAGGACTGTAAGAGCAACGCTGTAAAATAAAGGTCAAGTTGCTGCGGAACAGATCCAATGGCACATGCCTCATCGTGTGTCGCCATGACTCGTCGTGTCCTTGTGAATATGCACAGCGGACCGCCCTCTTCTTGTCAGCCATTGTATTGTATGTCATCGTCCAATTAATGTGACCCACCCCTTCATATCGAATTAACGAGGATGATATGTGAGGATCCACCCCACCTCCTTCATTAGAGACCACCCCTTCTCACTCTGGCCCCCCCGGTAACCCCTGACCTCTGTTGCCATGGAGATGCTGGGTGGAAGAGGGCCAGAGCGTGAGAGGTCACTTGCTAATTCTCGCCACATTACTTCTGCCCACCTATTCCAGGTCTTAAAATAAAACCAGCATCATATCCTGTCTTCCTCTCTGGTTTGTTCTCTCGTTGTGCTCACCATTTCCTCCTTCATGTATTTAGAGTTTAGAAGAATGGCTCGATTAAAAAAATGAATTATATTTTTTTATTTTAATGATCTTATTTTGGCAACCTCCTTTGTCAGTTATTCAAATGGAATAATCTCAGAGGTTTCGATGGAAAATTACACTTTGGTTGAACGACTTACAACTCAGAGACACTACTTCATTTTAAGGGAGGTCACGAGCCAAAAAGGTTGGGAACCACTGAGATAAACTAGGCTAATCTCACTGGATAACATGCCTTATACTTGAAATCATGGTAAGCAGGAAGACTTCTACCAAAGCAGGCTAACATGGTATATGACTTTAAGACATGAATATAGCGCAGCTACCCATAATTCAACGAGCACAGTGAGAGAAAGAGAAACAGGCCGATAGACAGGCTGAAAAAACAAGTAGGCGAGAATAGATGTGTGTGTGTGAAGTTTCATTCAGACATAGAAAAGAACAGTGTGTGCCACGAGGTGAGGTGTTGAGATGAAAGAGAGAAGAAGAAGAAAAAAACACCCTTCTGAAGTCTCCCGTCTTCCATCCTGCCCTGAGAGCATCCTGCCCGTCTGGCCCCGGAGCAGGAGGAGGACAGACAATGAAATGAGGTAAGGCCAGAGGAAGTCCTGACTGCTTCAGGCGTTTGTTCCCGCCAAGTTTATTCCGTTCCACTTTTCTTTGGAAGTACGTTGCTTTTGGCTTTTATCCTTTCCTCCCCTTTTCTTCTGCTCTCCCCTCTTTTTCCTCAGTACCTTTCTCCTCTTCTGTATCCCCCTTTCCCTCTACTCTCTTCTGCACTGTGACATTTAGAAACCTCCCACCAAAAGGGCTTTCTTTGCTCTCTTTTTTTATTTTCAATTCTATCACGCTTGTTCTCATTCTCTGCCAGTCTCTGCTGTCAACATTAGCATTAAGCCAGCATTAGCCCTCTGCTGTGCGCTCTCTTTCCGGCCCCCATTTTCCAGCTCAGCATCTGGGTGCAGATAATACAGGAACACCGTCACCTTATCTCCTCAGAAATGACACACTGGGTTCACGCCGTGTCAAACGGCGCTTCGTCCTGCTCCTATCTGATCCCCAGACGGAAAATAAAAAACTGCCCTGCTGAGCCCTGAGTGTAAGACACAGCCCCGGATCTTTAATGGAATGTGTGTGTGTGTGAGTGTGTGTATGTGTACGTGGGGTGTGCGCAACTGAAATCCCTATCTTTGTCAGTTTTCACTGCCAGCATTAGTATAATGAAGGACGCACAGAGATAATCTGTCAGAGGATTTTTTGTGACTGCAGCAGGAGGCCAAAGTCTTACAAAGGTGTAGTGGATACAGAGTCATGTGAGGCTGCAGAGTGAATTCAGGTGACGTGATAACTTCCTTTCATTAAAAAAAAAAACTCACCAGAATTTCTAGAACGTAGATACATCTGATTTTGGCATTTAGGTGATAAAATGTACAATATGACAGGATCCCTCCTCATCCCTCCTACCTGCGAGCACAGGTCCTGGGGCTTTCCCCCCATGCCATGGGGCATTTCCCGGCAGCGCGTGGACAGGTTGAGGATGGCCGTGGCTGCCATGTGGGCGGCCTCCATGTCGTGGCTATAGTCAAAGCTGCTCTTGCTGCAGGTGCTGCTGGCGCTGCTGCCCCCGCCCCCTCTTCCTCCTCCCGCGCCCCCTCCTCCACCTCCACAGCTCAGGCTACTGCTGCTACTGCTGGGAGCGTAGGTGCTGGTGGTGCTGCTGGCCGAGCTGGAGTTCTTACAGTAACGTTTGGCTGTGGGACATCAAAAAGAGTGGACATTAATGGGTTAATGCATTTAGATAAATGCTGACAGTGATGTATGTATGGATTTACATGTAATTTGTTTTTCTGTTCATAAAGGTGATGAGGTGTGCTTTTACTGTACAGACAAGATGATTACTTTTATAGTTTTTAGATTCATAAAACAGCCTTAAAAACACAAATTAATGGTCTTCTAGTTTTGGTATTTTAATTGACACTCTTATCTTAATTCCAAGAAATATTTATGTGTGATACAGCTCAAAGGAATCCTTTTATAATCATGTGTGTACACGTATGAGTTTACTTAAATTGAGCAACAATTAAAATTGGAATATCTGATGGAGATGAATATAGCCAATTTGATCTTGCTGTAAAATACCGTCATATCCTTTGGGGGAGGTGTCTCTTTGTCCATGAACTTTGGGTGCGATGGCCCGTTTCCCGTACACTTGGTGGTTGTTACTGCCATCAAAGGCGCTGTAGTCAAAGCTGGTCTTGGAGTACTTCTCCAGCTCCTTGGCCAGGTTGGAGCGGGGCGTGCTGGTGGAAACATTGTTCTTGTAACCATACTGTGGATAGTCCAGTTGTTTGACAAAGCACATAGGCCTGGAAAATAAATGACGAGGGGGTGGAAGTTGGACCGAGGCACTCAACATTGCCCAGGGGAAGGAGAGGGAACTTGGAGTTTGGTTAAAAAATGGGCAGATGCAAGGAAAGGGGCAGACTATTATGGTAATACTCCAGGATCAGAATATGGAGGATGATGCTGGTGGAAGGTGGGGTGATTTAGGGTGCGGGGCATCCCTTTCATACACCATAGCATGGATGTTTTTCTTTCTCCTGCGTTACAAAAAATACCCCTGCTACAAGTGTTTTTCATGCCTAGTCAATAAAAAACAGCCAAAATTGAATTTCTGCTTTTCTTTTATTACGCTTGCATACTTCTGATATGCTTTTATCATTTGATATGCATTTATATCCTCAATCTAAGACCAGGAAGAAATGAAATGTAAGATCTTGCACTGCTGTTGTTCAGTTAGATATAAATATAAAATTTACAATTACTTATGACTTTTCATCATAGCATGGACTATCAAAGAAACTCTCATTCAAAAAACTCTGTCTTCCCTATGATAAATGGGCCCAATTTTGTTCAAATCTAATAAAGTGATTTGCCTTCAATAGTGAGCACGGAAATGAACATGCAGTCTCTTGAAAGAATTCTCAGGGGACAGGAGAACATAAACATAAAACAAAGAGGGGGGACTTAAAAATCTAAATAGCTTTACAAAATGCAGGGGAAAAAGAACAACACATTCCAACATGACTGAATAACACTTCTCTGAATGTATTATACACAGTACAGCACAAAATCTACATTTGCATGATCTTTCAGTGAATGACCACCTAATTTATATCAAACATTCTTCTGACAATACACAGCATATGGATTGGCTATGCACTAAAAAACTTACAACAGTTGTAGAAAGACATGTCATATGCTTTCCATACCATATTTTGGCTACCTCCAACAGAGAATTTCACGTGCTGTAGATCAGTGACTCCCAACCTGGAGGTCAGGACCCCTCCAGTGGGTCACAAGATACATCAGAGGGGCTAGTGAGATTATTAATGGGATAGGAAAGAAGAAAATGTTCTGCTACATAAATTTGCATTATTTGTTTGTATTTTATCTAATCTTTCCTTTTTTTTATGAAATCTGTTTTACCTCTTTGAGTCTCAAACATTTATTCAAATCAGACAATCAAAAACTCAAAGACTTCTGATGTCTGCAAGAAGGAATTAGAAGTGAACGCTGTTTATCTTAAGGGGTCACGAGCCAAAAAGATTGGGAACTACTGATGTAGATGAAAGTAAAGAGCGAATACTACCTTAAGACTCGGTCAGAAGCCTGGTTGGACTTGGGGCCGTCACAGCTCTGGTGCTTCTCCTGGGCTTTGGCCAGCTTCTCAGCTGCCGCAATAGGACATCCTGACAGACTGAAATGAGAAAGCGGCTTAAGTGGCATAGTGGAACGTGCATCTGATCTGAGACACATTTTGATAGGTGAAAATGTTACATTGAATGCACATGCTGTAAAAATGTTTGGCTTGTTAAGAGTACTTGTCAGCCAGTCTTCCAGCCTGAAAATAGCTAGTGCACATCTGTCTGTCAGCCAATCAATCACAGTGTCTACCAGTTTGAAAATACCTGACTGTAGTTCAGAAAGTCTCTGTTTAAAATGCAAAATCATTGTCATCATCAAAAAATTTTTTTTTATCACTTTTAACATTTTTACACAACAAAATTGGCAACAGCTTGCATGTCTCTGGTTGAGCGGCTTGAAATCATTCTCAGAATAGATATTCCCATATGGACAAATGTGCATTTTTACGTGCATTCTGCAGCATCTTGTTTCCTTCAAACACATGCTGACAAGACACACACACACACACACACACACACACACACACACACTCACATACACTTGGGATCTATACCTACAGTATGTTCCAACAGAATTTAGGGCTGCAAAACTTGCTCCTGACAAGTAACTGACCAAAAGTGACAAAAGTTCATGTTGTTATCCTTAACCCCTATTATTCTCCATCCAGTCTGTCAACTGTAGTGTGCTGGGCCATGGTGAAAAAATTATCTTTGACAATGGCCTGAAGCCAGTATAGAGTTGTGTTCATGAGCACCTGTCATCAGGCGTGCATGAATGTGTGCCGGGGTAAGAGTGTGTATCAGGTTTGGAAGTGTGCGGTAGTACGTGGAGGTTTTATATCAGCTCTTTCTAGTAAAAGCAAAAGTTTACTGTGCGTGTCCATGTGCGTGCCTATTTTGCGCTGCAGCCGTGTCACTGATCTCAGCATGGAGCCATTCTGGTCCTCCCAGGTCTGCACCTCTCCTGTCACCCTGGCTGAGTGGCAGAAAGGTGCTAATGGCTGCTGCTATGCCCGACTCCCTGAGCATCTGCTGTGGGTGACACTCCTCTTTCACTGTCACCTCGCCCCGTCTGACAGCACTGGCAAGAGAGCCGTGCTATTTCAGTTTCTCCCTCCAAACCTGCACCTGATAGATGCCATTTTTCGCCACGAGCTGATAAATGATTTATGCTGTGGAGGTGTGAAATGCTGCATTCTAATCAGTCTCAGTTTAACTATGGGATTTTTAAGCAGCTTGAACTACTTAATTATTAATTATTTCCTTCTACCGATACATCATAAGAGAGACTTATCCACACACAACAGACAATGTGTTGGAAAGACGAAAAGAATGAGTTTAACAATAACTAAACAAAAAGATGATGTGAAAAGAAATTGAGGATGGAAAAATAATACCTCATTAAAAAACAGTCCCACGGTGAAAAAAGGAGGGTGCAACATGGACAGTGCCATTTTCATAAGGGCAGGCTGTCACTTACCTTCTGTGGGAGTTTCTGTTGCTATTGACATGGCCGCGTCCCGTGCAGCCAGGCGTAGGACACTTAAGAACATTCTCATACATAGCCACAACTTCACACAGACAGGAGATAGGAGTGAAAGACAGGGAAGGTTAGGAGCCCCTTACAATCACGCATGAGCTCTATTAGTGTGTGAGGAGCTTGGCATTATAAACATCATTAAGAAATGAGCCTGTGTGAACCCAAATGACCTCTTCTTCATTTTAATGAACACTAGTTTGAGAGGGCAGGCAAGGTTTCCCACCATATTGCTTCCACTTATCCAGCCCTTTCAAATTAGTATTCATGGAATAGGGACAGTCATGAATAAAAAGATGTCATTTAAGTTTAACAGGACAAAGCCAGCAAGAGACAGAAATGGAAGGAAATTTTGGGCATGCAGAGAGCAGAGCAACCAACAGCTAGCAATCATGCAAAACACAAGCTTTGAAATCAATGGAAGGAGCAGACAGATAGAATACAGCTCCTTGATAGAGTGTGCTTTGTTATCATCCCCACGTTGTTAGGGTAAAGAGCGCAGTCTTCAATACCATTTACCATTGAAACAGTCCATAACTGTCTCAGATCCCCTCGGCAACCAGCCAATTAGATTAATGATCTATGGATGTCCAAGAGGAGCCGTCGGAGCACCGCAGGCACGGGGAAGGGTCGTCTCGCGCGCAGGGCCAAACCCCATCGGCACCAGCTTCATCATTATCACCCCCTTAAACTTTAACCCCTCATCATCCTCCTTCCCTTACATACTAATTGGTGTTCGGTGCAGGTAATTGGACAAATCCTGCCACCTCAACATGCCACAAGCCAATACATTATGCATATGCCAGTTTTGCCCTGTGCAAAGCCAAGATAGAATGGCAAGAAATTAAAGCACCAGGCCTGATTCAGTGGGCACAGATAGAAGTATAGGGCTGCTGAGGAACAGAACGGTATAAGAAAGCAAACAGGAAGCAACGTTGCTCCAAATGTTACAAAGGTAATTCACTTTAAAGACAAAAACAAAGACTCCCATGTGAGCTGATTAAATATTTTAGCATTCTACAGAAAAGAGCTACAATGAGCAAACAGGAATGGGAATTAATGAATTTGAGATATAATTTAATCGTCATTTTTCACATTTCCCAAGGAACAGTCTGGTTGCACTGTGTGATTTCCCAATTAAATGAAGCCACTGCATTAATAATACATTGTCCATTCAGTACAGCAAATGTGTTAATAGGGGAGAGAAAATTGCCCATAGCCGAATCTTCCCCACAGGGAGCTCCATGTGTGACATGTACTCATCTTTACCTTTAAAGTGGTGAAGCAAGATGTCAGTCTGCATGAGACTATTGACCACATATTGACAGAGACTTAGTGACTGGCTGCTACATGGCTGATAATGCAGAGACCTAGCGATAACTCATGCCACCTAAAGCAGGTCACCTTTTAACAGCAACAACAAGACTGTGTGTGTGTGTGTGTGTGTGTGTGTGTGTGTGTTTGTGTTTACTCTCAAGTATCCTTTTGAAGTCAAAGAAGAAGGACTGAAGATGATGCCACAAAGATCAAGGAGAGAACTTTTTGTGATCCAAAGCATCCTGTGCAGTATTAGTGGTATCATCTCCACAAAAAGTCAGCCCGATCAACACAAGTGGGGAACAGGAGGAGGAACACAGACATCATATTCCAAAATCTCCAGTGACAATCAATTCAAGCCCATTCCAAATTCCGTTTTGGGGCTCTTGATCCCAGTCAAGGTCAACTGCTCTGAGTAATTTCACATTTCTGGGAGACAGGTACATCTCAGGTTAGGGACCTTTGTGTGAGCAGCGCTCCGCAGAACAAGAGTCATCTGTGACACTGCTGGTCTTTACAAGCCTGGCTTTAATGGTAACTAATTTCTTTGCCATTATTAGGACCCTCTTTTATTTTGATTGCAGTCTGGGTCATGGCAGATCATAACTTGATTTTCACGCTGCGGTTAATGAAACGTGTAAAGGGGCTTTTATTGAGAAGTTTGCACAAGGTGAATGAGACTAAATAGCCGGGGTTGAAATCTCCAAAGGGAAAACTCACTATTCATTCAAGGCTAATGTTTATTGCCACTTCACTTGATCTGTGGCTTAGAGATGTGATACTGCCTTTCGATTTAACAGAACTTAATTGAGCAAGGAACACAAATAAATGAATGGGGTTTATGGCATGGATGACTGAAGCAGGCTCAGTGCTCTCAAGGTCTGTAAGTGTTTTCAAGTTTTTTGAAAAATCTAATGTGAAGACTCAATTAACATTAAAAAGATACACAAATAAATGAAATACAGCAGCATGGCATTTCACCTTTTCTTATCAGTCACAGTCAGTAAAGCATGCTGTGAAAAAGCATGCTACCCATATAGCCCCTACAATGATGAAACCAACAACAGTGGATGGGATTATCATATATTCTTAATCACTGTCAGTCAATCCAGTGGAGGACAAAGTCTCATGCAGTCAGGTGAATCACTGATTGACAGCTGTTGACCATCCCACCAATGGCTGCAATGCCACTATTTGCGCATCATCAAGGCCTCATTTCCCACCTCATCACCACGGCACACTAGGCAGGCAATCAGCAAGCAAAACCATGGCCCCATGCAAAAGGTCAAAGAGAAGTGCAGCTGCAACCCGTCTGACCCCTCACTGTACCCGCCCCCCACCCCGCTGAAATATCAAACACAGTCCAATCACAACAGCAAGTGCACAGCACACAGAACAGGCCAGACACAGCAGTGATCACGGGAAACATGCCGATTCCTGAACATCAAAGAGCATGGAGGCCACAGGTTGGGTAAATAAGCCAAACCAGTGTTTGACTGGTGTGTGACCGAAGTGCTTACTTTCTGGTGGCACCCTGTCTTTGTGCGGACAGCCGGACAGGCTCCGATGGTGGGGGTACAGGCCCGTCACGTGACCCGTGCCGTCGCAGCCTGGTGTCGGACACCGACTTTCCTTCTTGTCTGCACGTGAAGCATCTGTTAGCAGAAAGTCATATTGAGGTGATCACACAAAACAAAATGCTGCACTGCTGCACTGAGTACGGCACGTTAGCAGATGTGGGGATGGCACTAAGTCAGCTACATAACATCTGAGGGCGAAGTTGCAAAGTATCAAATCTCCCAGGTGACATGTAAGTTATATGGGAATTAAAATGTCATAGGTGAATAACAGAAAACGTATGACATAAAGACAGAGAGTTATACATTACGTTGGGAGCTGTGCACAGCTACATCAGTAAGGTACAGATGTACAAGACGTCATTTTTCTATTAAGGGTTTATATATGTCAGTCTGTCATGGATTTCCTGGACTTTTCAGTAACTATCGGTACAGTGTAATTTCTCTTGGGCACAGGGCGGATATGTCTCTCTCACTTTTAAAACTCTTATGCTGAACATAATGGTAAATATTAGAGAAGGCAGTCTCCTTTTTAGTGATTTTTAGTAAAGACGATGCACATACAGTGCTTATCTGTGTATGTGGTCTCTAATGAAACGAAATGTGATTTTAAGTAGGGTTAGTATATAAATATTGCCGTAAATTACATCAGCATTTCTATTTGTTTTATTTGATTACCATGAATTTAAAAAGTATGATTTCATAAGAAGTTATTTTCTAGACTGATATAAATGTTATTAATGCAGGAAATAGTATTTACAAAACATCTGACTTAATGTGCATCCCCCCACGTCTGAAACCAAATATATGCCCTTGACTACTGCCACCAAAAATATTTGAATTTTAAGTGGATTTATTTTTTTATTCATAGACCATTATTTATTGCTGTGCTTATTTGAAGAAATGACTGACAAGGACAAAGATGCAATTATTGGCTTGATGACAGATCTTTTGATCATGAAGTTTGTTTACTGTGATGAAATTGTGAAAATTTGTGAAATATTACAGCTCTCGTGTTAGTGACCTTAAATGAAAAGCGTTTTATCTTTCATTTTAGATTCAATCAAGAATTTATCATACTTGTCCTCATTAAAACCGCTCATGCCTTCACATGACAGTTTGTGAACGTGACAATGAGGGTCCAAAATACACACACACACACACACACACACACACACACACACACACACACACCCCCCCCCCCCCCCAAAAACACACAGGCACATGCTCACACACCGGATGGGATTGTCTTTCTCTCCCAAAATCTGGTTCTTCTATTTCTTCGAAATCCAGATCAGATTTAGTTACCACCAAAAAGCAGCAATGTCAAGCTGTGCCAACTGGCATTGTTTCTGGAGATGTAACCATCCACCTTTAAAACACTTTGACTCTCAAACAAGGTCAAGGTTCTTCTTATGGTCAATACAGTGTGTCTTGTTGATGCAGTTTACATTACTATTTTAATGAAAATTAGGAACATTTACAAAGCATAACAGCCTGTAATATCCTCTCATAGCAGAGTTACAGGAGTATAGTGTTCAGATTGTTTCATTTTTGGGCAATTTGAGTGACCGCAACCTTTATCTGGAGCAAGTTTTAGCAAAGTTGACAAGGGAGTGGCTATTATCTCGGGCAACAGAAAGACAGACCACTGATTAATGTTTTACAGGCCTGTGTAACTTAGTAGCTCCAGCTAAGGCACTTACTGACAAACCAAAATAAACCAGAGCTAGTGGAGTAAGAGCAGTGAAAAGAATAATCAAATGAAGGGGGTAGAAGGGTTGAGAAAAGACAAAATTGAGAGGTGGCATGGAGCACACCTACTCATACATTTACAAGTGAGTCACCAAATGAAATCCCATGTCTCATTCATCAGAAAGAAAAGGACCTCATTAATCTCTGTGGCTGCCATCTATCTATGTCACGTTAAGGGCATATGAGTTTGGTACAATATTGCGATGTCATGTCTGGTTCTACTGTCTGGCACCAGTGCAGTAAAGGCAGAGAGATTTCATGTTGATAAAGAACTTGGTCTGCATGTAAAATGTGGCTTCTTAATAATGTCTTCTTTTGGGCCATATTATTACACTGACAGTGTTTGAACAGTATGTTGGAAATAATTCTCCACTTCTGCAAGTACGAACGCACACATACACATATATGATGCCCGTGCATTCTGCCTGCCACGCTTCTATTGCAGAGAGTGAGGCAGCCAAGTGGAAGGCATATTAGAAAGCAGGGGATATTGATTGTGGCTGGGGACGGTCTGCGCTTTGCATAGCAAATGGCCCCCATTACCATACCATCTCTGGATAATTAATGTGCAGTCAGTGGGCCTGTCGTTCGTTATCGGTCATTCTGATACTGTTCAATTTTCATCTCAGCCTCATGCTTCTCTTAGGGAGCTGGGCTCCTCTCTGAACCCCAGCATCCCCCATTCCCCCTCCCTCGCCATGCTGTTTTATGAATCACACAGCAACCCTGGTCAACGAGTGTCTGCTACTATCTTGCCCGGGGAAAGATGTTATCGCGTCGCAACTGTCTCGCGTCCTCCCATTATTCCAACATTAGCCAGACACAAGGGCCATGGACGGCTCTTGAAATTAACATTTGTGTGGCATTTAAATCGCAATATATACCTGCTGTTAGTTGTGTGGCATTTAAGGTGTAATATCACCCTGCTGTGAATTAGCATGCTCTTATTTGTTGGTCTCATCTGATACCTTCCTTATGGGAGGAAATTATTTAACCTAAGTCTGAATATAGTTGCACTAAAGGATATGATGAGAAGAATAATTAGGAGTTTAACAAGGGAGCTCGAAATCAGACCACAGTAAATGCCACTGCAATGTCTCTGTGACTGCAACCCTAGTCAGTACGTATACAAGCACATCCAGTGTACTGTATAACAACTACCACTGATGGAATACTGAAGTCTCTGTACTGTATGATTAGCCACATATGTGTATTTGTCTTTCTGTGGTATCGGTAGTAATCTTAATGGAAGGTCATAAACAGATGTAAAAAGCTTCATTGTTCCCTACAGAATGAATCCTTTCTAAAGGCAGAAGGCCTCTGTTTTGTGGCTTCCTCTCCCAAGTGCTTGTGCAGGTTTAAAAATAGGCAGTTTTACCCCAAGCTGCATCGAAGGGATGAGATTTGCGGTCCTAACAGGCCGTGCAGATTGCCATTACTTATGCCTGACAAGCCTACCCTCTGATGTTTCCATGCTGGCCTATTTTAACAACATAAGCTGCTGCTGCCGCTCCCGCTGCTACCGAGATGCGAATTTCCAAATTGGCTGAAAAAGCTTGTCCTGGGGTTATAGTCAGGTTCCCAGAATGCATGTGGGCTGTCTAGTCTCCGGTACAGGATAGATAGAATATAGAGCCAAACAGTGGCAGACAAACATTTTACCTGAGCTTGTTAAATGAGGTAAACATGTCTACACTTGTGATAGACATAGATATGGTTTCCAATGGAGGCTTGGTGTGCATCTGAGCGTGTCCATGTTTGAAAGAACCACTCACCTTTATGGTAGAAAGGCTTCTTCATACCATCAGGAAGCCGGGCTTTACGCTCAAGGCCGTAGCCATGCCGTGGGCCATGGTCTTCATGACTATATCTCACCCCGTCTCTCCTAGCAGCCTCAGCCGCCATTTTATCCCGCATTGCCTTGGCACGTTCTGACTCTAGTGCAATGGCCTTCTCCAACAGGGACAGGTTGCCCTTTGTCATGTCAAACACTTCTTCTGAACGGTCCGACGTCACAGAGGCTGTGTCCTCATCGAAGTCCCGGTGGTTGGTGTGATATCGGTCGTCCTGTGCGCAACTGGAGAAGGCCTTGGAGCGTGGACTCAGCTGTTCCTCAAGCTTCATAAGATTGTCCATGTCGGAATAGTTCCTATCAAGTGTCCGCCTGTCGTCTTGGCTGTGGTGAAAATCCCCATAGCTGTGATGCTGGGGCTGTTGATTGGGATCCCCGCATGAAAAATGATTTTGCTGGGATGGTCCGATTCGGTCAGCAGACTTGGTTTCACTTAGTTTCCGAGCCAGGTCAAAGCATTGGTTCCGTAGGCACTCCAGACTGCTTAAACACACTTCTTCGTCACTGTTTTCTATTTGTCCATTACTGGTGGTCTTAACTTGTCCATTACCACCATTGTGTGAATTTCCCCCATTGTGAGTACAGTCATTCTCATCCCCATTCTCAGTTGTACCATCCTCAAACTCCTGTCCGTCTAAATTGTCAGCCAATACTGCACCGTGACCTTGTGCCAGCAGTTTAAGGGAGTCCACCGTCTCCCGAACCACATCGCTGTCAACGTCCAAACTCAGATCACCCCGCTGTGTTTCATCCCCTTCCACCTCTTCTTCTTCCTCCTCTTCCTCCTCGTCTTCTTCTTCCTCCTCCTCTTCCTCTTCGTCGTCATCCTCCTCCTCCTCTTCTTCCTCTTCCTCCTCCTCTTCTTCTTCCTCAGCGCTGTTAGAGGAGTTGCTGTTCATCTCAGATTCCGTCATGGCTCGGTTGGCAGCGTCTTCTGCGATCTTGCCCAGGTTGAGGAGGGACTTGGCTACGAGTTCGTCATAGTTCTCGTACTCGTCATTGTTGTTGTCGTCCTTCTCCGTCGCTGGGCCAGATTTGGCATTGCCGCCACCACCTCCACCATCGCCCTCGGCCCCCTCACCACTGCTCATCTGATCGTCCTCTGTTGGAAAGAAAGAACAAACGTCTTGTAATTTCATTTCCGTCATTCTATTTTACTGGTAAATCAGATTTCTGGGCTTGGTCCATCTAAATTGGATAAGGAACTCTTTGCTTCCCCTAATAATTTACTTTGAGAGTCTTAACAGCAGCTTGTGTTCTGAATTGTGAATCAGCACAGGAAGTTAAATATAGCGATTGGGGAAGGTTCCAGAGAAAGATGCTCTGGTAAATGAGAATCTATGAAACCAGGGACTATATCTTTGGCAAGTCTTATTTTTGCACTTATTTCCAGGATGTCTTTAGAAAATGATATTCACAGGTCTTATGATTAATAATATTACTAAAGATTTCTGTAAATAGCTGCAAATGAGATAACATTTTATTCATTATTCAGCAGTGTAAATCAAAACACTGTGAGAAATGCAGAGAGCATTTTTTTACAGGAGAGTTTAAAATCTAAGAAATAATATGGTGTTCCATTTGCACCACAGTCAGTAGCTATTCATCGTTTGCTAGTAAAGTTCTTTTTTCATTCAATCATCAGTATCTTTAGAATTCCTTTCACTGCCTAATTGATTCTGACAGGCTGCAAAAGGTTACTGAACCTCTTCTGTCAGTAATTTCAAGCACTCACTCCTGGAGCACTTCCAATCTCTCCTTTCACATTTTTGCCCTGAGCCGCCAAGAGCACATCGCTCACATTGGCGTCACATTTGCCACTTACATTCCTGCAGTGAAAATGACCCCCCCCCACACCCACACAAACACACACACAGAAATAATAGATCTGAATTTTGACTTCAAAACAAGCAAACCGTAGGGCAAAACAATAATAATAATAATAATAAAAATAATAATAATAAAAATTAATAATAATAAAGTGTAATTATTAGTGATGAAATATTAATTATCTCTAGGTTCAAAGAGTTATTTGTAATCACAACAATGATGTAAACTTGACTGTATTCTTCAGATCAAAGTTATAAATATTAAGTATGCAAATACAAACCGTAATATTATCCAACGACATTCTTTGTACATACCACACTAACATGTACACTGACTTCCCTCACTCACATACTCTACACACACACACACACACACACACACACACACACACACACACACACACACACACACACACACACACACACACTCCCACACACTCCAATCTAAGAGCAACACAAAATCGGTGCTTGGGGGGTGAGGGCTTTAGAGCGGGAAGAGGGAACAGTCACGAATGACCAGGCACATATTTTGACAGTGGAAGGCTTTTTACAGCAACCTTCTGCACCAGGGGTTTAATTTTTGATGGTATGAAACATGGCACAGGAAAGCAATTTGAAGAGCAATCAAGGTACACAAAAGGGATATGGAAGCGAAACAGATTAAGGAGGGAACAGAGACACTGCCCTGCCCTGAATTGGCTATGGATTAGCTACAGAGATGTGCATGCCACTGAGAAACACAGAGAAGCTCCAGAATGTCACCTCTATTACATGTAGGAGATGGGAATCTGCCAAGCGACCATCCAGTATTGCTGTCTTGGGGCAAATGAGGAACATGGTAATGATGCATATGGAAAGATTATTCTGCCTTTCTAAGGGAAAATACTGCAGATTAAAATGCTGTTAAGTCTTTCTATTCCAATAAAGCAAACATAATGATTATAGAGCTCCATGATGAGAAGGATTTCATGAAGAAAAATTCATCATAAAAGTGAATAACTTCCAGTGACAACAACATGCACTGTGGCCATAGCACTTATCAAAAAAAACATGGTAATCAGCTACTACCCATGGAAAAACAGGCGCTTGACAGGCTGGTGAGACAGTGGCAACACTCCACTGTCTCAGTGTTAAGGGTAAGGCCTCGGCTGTGGGCTCTAATGAACACCAGTCTGTAGAGATGTTTTCACATTCTGCGAGGAAATAAGAGCATTGCTGCTGAGATGCCACATCAACACTTTGGGTGGGTAGAGCTACGCGCCAAACAGGGTTAACACACTCCTCTCTCAGAGCTTCACTCTTAATTGGACTTGAAGGCACTGTCAGGTCCAATCGTGATGCGGGGGTGCAAAGCAGAATCTGCTGGAGAGAAACCTGCCAAATCTGGTTTTGGCCACGTTGGGGGGGAGATAACATATGGGGCAGGAGTCAAATACCAGTCCCAAAACTAGATGTTATTTTTGTATCATGATTTCCGGAAAGGCGTGATTTAAGTTATGCTTTGTTTGTCAACAGTACAGTAACTAGTATTTTGTTTGTTATTAAAAATAACAGGTTGAAAAGGTTTAAACATTTCAGTGGGAATAAAAAAGGAGGACCCTGCTAATTTTAGCCATCAATTTCGATAATTTCTCTTTAATTAGGATACCGAAGATCCATCCTCTAGTAGGCTTTGACTATAGTAACAGTGCAGTAAAGGCTTTGAGTATGATGAGTACATATGTGTGTAACATGTGCAAATGAATGAATGAATGAATGAGTCACATAAAAATGAAATAGCAATCACTGTAGGAATAACACATTGTATGGCTTCCGTCATGCTGGATTCAGTGTGTTGTTTCAGGTCTTTCATCTCTTTCCAATGCAACGCACAATCAGTCCAACTGTCCTATACTACTTCATTCAGCCCATCAAATATGGATATATAAACCCCAGATATGCAAATGCGGCACTTAAAAACAATGGTAACATTTTTAAATAGATAGACATATCACCAAACACAAATATAAAGCTACAGCCAGCCCTCTTAGCACAAAGACTAAAAACAGGGGGAAACAACTTGTCTGGCTCACCTTGCAGCACCTCTAAAGCTCACTAATTACTAGTTCTGCAACTAAGGATTATTTTCATTAATGATTAATCCTTTGGTCTATACAATTTCAGAAAATACTGAACATTGTCCATCGGAGTTTCTCAATTTAATATTTTGACATATATGACAGAGAAAGGCAAGAAATACCCATATTTAAGAGGCTGAAAACTTTAACGATGAATCGATAATGAAAATAGGCAATCATTTTTCTGTTGATCAACTAACTGATTAGTCGACTACTTGTTGCAGCTTTACTCATTAACACATTATATAATGTGTGTTTAGTCTGTACTATGTCTAAAAACAAAAAATTGCCATTTTACGGGGGTTCATGTGCCAGAATATTTCTTGCCTGAATAGTAACTTCCTGGAGTGTCCACTGGTTGCCTGGCAGCTGAGCCAAGAAATAATCCAGCACATAACGCCGTCTAAAATGAAAATGTTTTATTTTTAGTATGAATTAAACAAAAGAGAAATAACATGTTAATATAGAGATTTAGAGGTACTGCATCTGTAGGTGGATTTAGTTGCCTATGGACAGAGCCAGGCTAGCTGTTTCCTCTTATTTCCAGTCTTTGTGCTAAACCAAGCTAAACTGGTGGCTGGCTGTAGCCCTTAATTTACCTTCCAGACATGACAGTGGTATTGATTCTCTCATCTAACTTTCAGCCAGAGAGTGAATACACACATTTTCTGAAATGTCGACCTATTCCTTTAAAATGAAAAGAACAGTTGTTGTGGTGTGTGGCGTTGGTTTTGGTACAATAAGTGATCTCACCTTGCCCATGACTCTGTTCTCCTTCTTCCTCCTCTCCCTCGTCATAGTCCACCTCCTCTACTGCTTCTTCCTCTTCCTCTGCTTCCTCCACCCTCTCCTCGTCACCCTCTTCCTCCTCTTCTTGCTCTACCTCTACCTCCTCTTCTTCCTCCTCTTCTTCACCCTCTCCATCCCCTCTCTCCACCTCCCCTTCTTCATGCTCCATTTGCGCTACGTTGTAGTCCATGTAGCCTTCCATGTCCTCTTCTTCTTCCTCTACTTCTCCTTCTTCCTCCTCCTCCTCTACCGCTCCTTCCTCCTCCTCTTCCTCCCTGTCGTCCATCTCCTCGGTTCCGTCTGTCTCGTAGCACTCCTCCATGGTGGAGTTGTCCATGTCATCTAGGTAGGTGCTCCTCTTGGGGGAGGTTTCCAGGGTTTGTCTGTCTAGACTCTTTCTCTTCTTGGCCAGAGGGCAGCCGTACACACTGCAGAGGAGAGATAAGAGGGCAGCCATTAGCTGTTAGCCTCACCTGGCCATAAATGCCAATGCTCATTTGTAACTGGGCCTCTGTGTGAAGGTGCCATGGTTTACAAACTACATTTGGAAAGAATGCAATGCACGGAGCAGCAATGGAACGGGGGCTCTTACTGCAAGGAAAGAAATGCCCCTTAAGTTCTTCTGCTGGGAAAAATTGGAAACTTTGCTTAACCAACATAATTAAACATGTACTCATTAACTATTGAGCAATTATAATGAAATGCTCCATTTCTTCCAGAAAACAGTTACAAAGGGATAAAATCTCTATCTTTGAAGAAAACAACGCAGAAGATTCAGTTTATTTTCACATTCATTTATATTCAGGTAACATCAATTTGTTCTCCAGGCAAAAGAAAATCACTGTGCATGCTCTGCAAACACTTTGTTCCAGACTGATATGCCCTTGTTCTGACGTGAACCGAGTGCAGCACAACACAACAGCTCGTCTGGAATTGACTGTAAAAGACAACCTGTAGCCTGATTAATTGAATCTTGCCAAGGCACCTCAGATTTTAATGTATTCTCTGGCTCCCCTCGGCAGCAGGGGGACAGATCCTAATCTGATAATCTGTGTATTCGCTCAGGCTATTGATCACAGGGGTTTAATCCATTTCACTCATCAAACCTCGGAGAGCCCCGAGCTACTACCTGGCCCCCCAATGTAAGCTGCATGTGTGTGACTTTAGCTGCTGTTTGTACATTTATGTATGAGCGTGTGTATGTGTGTAGCTGTGTGCACGCATTTGGCACATTTGAACAAAAGCACCCACACAGTCAGAATTATGATGAGTTCTGCTGAGTGTTTTGGCCATCAAATAAACCCCCTGTCCAGGCCGGGGTGTAAGAGAGCTAAACATGCTTTGGGCATGTTCACTCGGCTGTGAAATATCCCTGGCTCCTATTTTTACAACCTCTGGATGTTTCCCCGGCTCTGCGCTGCTTAGAGTAAGACTTGATGTGAATGAATGGCACAAGGCTGTGTGTGAGACTAAGAAAATGGTAGTTGTTAGTCAATGTGTGCTGCTTTTGTGGTGGAGTGGCAATGGAAAAGGCTCATCGCAGTGGTGAGGTGGTATTGTAGAATGGAGAATCACAGTTTTACAAACCAATTTCTGTTCCCTCAGTTTCTGTTTTTCATGTCAGTGTGTCCCACAGTCCAATATCCTATCCATCCTGCTCTCTCTCTCTCTCTCCTCAGTCCCTGACGTCCATCAGTCAGCCAGGGTCCAGTCAGCTGGCAGGCTCAATCTTGCCCAGCCCAGGGATTCCTTAATGGTCTGACCCCCTGTACCCCCCGCAAACAGAGGGCTCATTTCATTAATCTAAACCCACATGGAAACTCATTCCCTGCCTGACAGCCAGACCTCTCCCCCAGGGCAGCGTGAGGGTCTGTGGGACAGTGAAGGAGTGGGGGTGTGTGGTGCGGCACTGTGATCAATAGTGCTTGTGACCAAACATCTCAAAAGCACATTAAAATGCCACTCATCCTGGCCCCTCTGTTCCAGGGCCCTCTCCAAATAAATCAAGGGCCAGTCCCAGCAGGTTAGCGGCTGCCAAGGCAGGCGGGCTGGCAGGAGAGGAGGATAGGTGAGTGGGAGGAAGGAGGAGGAAAGGGAGCAGGGATGGGAAGAGGGAGAGGGAGAAAGTGCTGTGGGACAGACACAGGCCCTTAAACCCTCTCCCTCTTTTTTTCCTGGTCCTGCCTCTCTGCCTTTATCTTAACGATGAAGCAGTCTTAAGGAAGCGTTGGCTGTCAAGCATTGAGCCACAGTGTAGCTCAGTGGTGACTTCACCTGAATCACTCTAAAAAAGTTGTTGAATTGCTATAATTGCTTTGCAACATCAGCTAATGGATAGCAAATAATAAATGCTGGGTTGTGTATTTTTTCATTGTATCTTTAAAAGGTGTCAAGTGCACTTCATTATTTTGGGTCAGAATTGTACAAACAAAAAGGCCTTTTGATAACAGAGAGCCAACATACTTCAAAACCTGAACGCTGAAAGTTCCACCTACAGTGGAACAGATATTTGGCTCCTGTTTAAAGGCTCCTGTTCATTGAACGCAACTGCAGAGTATCTTATGTAAATGACTTTTAATCATACTCGTGTTAAGAGGCGTTGTCAGGTTGTTGTGACACTGTGAGAGGTGTGTTCGCCCCGACGCTCCTAAGCACCACGATGACTAAGCCACAGGAAGCCTCCACAGCTCCTCCATCCCACGTTCCTTGGCTCTGTCGCTGTGTGACCTTGGCTACAACATTCGTCATCACAGGCAATGCATCCCACTCACTGCACTTGGCAATTAAAATTCCAGAAATAATTTGGTGGCATTTAAAAAATATAAAAAGAAAACAAATTCTGCAGGCATTGTGCAGAAACAGGAAAGGATGAGAAAACCCTGTACCATTCTAAGTTTCCCTTGCTCTGTCCCCTGGCAGAATCACAAAATCCTCCAAGAGTGTGTGGTATTAGAGGTAGCAATCAAAGAAGAAAAGAGCTTCAGATCACAAAAAGACCACTTCATATTTTATGGAGTGGGCATCCTCAGCATTATAAGATGGAACTAATTCTATTACAGTGTGAAGTGGCCCTTTAATGCAGAAAGAACCTTCTGAAAACGTTACAGAGAGGGCCCCGTTTCTGGAGCATTAATGTGAGGCAGGAGAGTGGATCCGCAGGAGAAGGAGAGCTCCCGTTTGGCTAATTTTGGGCGACAGTTGAGCGACTGCTGGAATGCGACAGCGTTCCACGGTGCCTTTATTAGCAGTCATATTAGCGGCTGTTCTCAGCAGGGGCAAAAGCTTTAGCCAGTCATTAGCATCACACGCTATTTGTCTCCCTGACACAGGGATGAGGCTGCTGTTGCCTCTTCCTCTGCCTCCTCTTACTGCTGCTTTTTTCTTGACTCCTCTCTCTCTCGTCATCTCCTGTCACCCAGCATTCTCACCTCATAGTTTTCCCTCTCTGTTCTCACCCACCATAACCTCACCTGCTCCTTTTCCTTTTATACGTCCACTGCACCCACCTCCTCCATATACATCCTAGAGTATATATTGCCTCAATCCTTCTACCACACCAATTGCTCTCTATTCTCCCATTTTTCCTACCTCTCCCCCTCAACCTCAGCTCATTGTTGTCTCTCCTTCTCTCTCAGCAGAGCAGACTAGAGATGGAGGGAATGCACCACCTCTGGCTGTGCCCCCTATCCAGCAGGAGGATCTATAGACACGTGTGGCAGAGCCCCGTCTCCATGGTGATACCCTCCAGAAATCCATGAGGGATTCGCCATCCTCACAGCCAGCCAGTGAGGAAAAATGAGAGAGAGACAGACAGGCAGTGAAAATGAGAGGTGGGGAGGAAAAATAGAGGCTATAGGAGTGAGACAGACAGGAGAATGTATGTTTTTGTGCATGTGTGTATATGCCTCTTTTGTGTGCACGCAAAACTGGGAAATCTATAGCAGAGTAATTGAAATGAAAAGTGTGTGTGTGTGTGTGTGTGTGTGTGTGTGTGTGTGTGTGTGTGTGTGTGTGTGTGTGTCTCTGTGTCTGTGTGGAAGAGGAGAGAGGATCATTTCAGAGCTGTCAGGCTTCTCCCGCTAGCAGGGGAGAACAAAAGACAGTGTCTTGGTGCAGGAGGCTCAGCGCATGGCAGACGCTGCAATTTGGGGCGTTTTCTGGCGTCTCAGGCTCCAGCTCTCATATCAGCTGCTATGGCTCATTCACACACACTCATGCACACACAGAACACACAATGACAGTTTGCTCTGAAACTCATAAAATACTACTTCATAGTTGTGGTATCAAAATAATCCTCAGTGTCAGTGAAACATGTGATGGTTGTTTGTCAGTGTTAGTGTGCTGAAATTACATGTCCAATTTTGGTTTACACTAAAGTCTTAATAATACAAGCAACATTTAACTGTAATCTCTTCATGCTTGGTTGCACAGTTCAACAAAGCAGTAACATCCCAAATTCACCGTTTCTTGACACTACAATGGTTTATGTGTTTTAGACAGCGAGTGCTGTGGTGAAGTAGCCAAGAGGCATCAGTACCCAACAGACATGTTGCTGTTCAGCTCACTGGTTCAATAAGCCTGTTGTTGCCCATTCACTGCTCCATCTCTAACATAGCCTGCAGCTAATAAAGCCTGTCTCAACTTTAGTCAAATGCTCGCACTAAGCCCATCAGCCTCAACATGCCTGAGGTACAGTACAATGGCTAGCAATGACTCTAGTGGGCTTCTTACATGTGCCCAGCAACATCTTCCTACATTTTATCCTCACCCCCAGAGCCCATGCAAGGCCTCCACTGCTCCCCTTTAGCTCCGTTTTGTCCATGTCTGCCAACTACTGCTCATGCTTGGAGGAAAACCTCTCCTCACAGGTTGTTTGTGCACCTATCTGATACTGACTCATTTGTAAATTCTGGGTAAATTGCTGCCCCTAATCTGTTGTGGTGTATTCTTATTTCATTTACACAAAATATAAACTATACTTAAGGTTAAAATGCACTTAACAAAATATTTTTTTAATGGATTTTTAACACACAGTGATTTAATATGTCAGATAATTGAGCATTTTTGTTTTCAGATTCCTTGAATTTAGTGTAACACTGTGGCTGGGGATTTGAAGATGGATCTAATATTGATATGTGCATTATACAAGCCATTTTGCATAATTTGGTAGTGGAGATCCTGAGCAGGAGAGCTCATCCGGCAGCAGATTCTGGGGGTGTAATGCGGCTATCTGTCATCCTGCAGCTAAATTCACTCCTGGATTAGCCAGGTAAGGAGTCTCTCCACCAGCGTAATGACTTCAATCAATCACCCCAACCCAGACACACACACACACACACACACACACACACACACACACACAGAGGCCAGCTAGTTAGCTGCTAGCCCAGCAGCCATTTTGGAGAAGGAGTTCCTTCCTCCAGCTTGTCCATTTGTCTGTGTAAGCCACAGTGGTGGCTGTCATAATACTTGTTTATTGGGATAAGCTAAGTTAGTGTATTTAGTCACTAACTGTGATCTAAGCAGAGAGAATCACTTACATGGCTGGACTGTGTTACTAAACTAGGGCTGCAATAAACAGGGATTTTTTTAAATAATTGATTATTGTCAATTAATTGATCCAAGGTGACGTCTTCAAACTGCTGTTCTGTCAATCAACAGTGCAAAAGCCCAAAGATATTCAACTAAGAAACAGCATTTTCACTTAAATAACTTAAATGATTAATCAATGATCAAAACTGTTTTCTGTTGATTGACCGATTGGTGCCTTGAACTGTTTCTGCACTATATGGAGGAACACAACAAAAATGTAGATAAAGAATAAATCTGGTGATACTCTCTATTTTTGTTATTGTTGTCAAATCCCATGAAAAGACCACAATCTAGTAGTACTGCCTCTGTAGCCAAAGCCTGATATATCTTCTTCCTCTGTGCCATAGAGCTGTACGGTTGTCCATAGACCATTAAAAACACATCAGTGAGCTGCACTGTTGTACTCAGTGACAAGTTCCCTCATTTCCATGAACTGTAGTTATTTAAATCAATTCATCTAATACTAACCCAGTACTGCACTGACTCTGCTGCTTATAACAGCAGTACCCAGCTGTTTTGGGATTTTTTTTTTGGCCATAAAAAAAAAGTGTGTATATTCATGACCTGTAGTGATTTATGTCTACAGTAGAAACCGATCGACCAGCTGGGGAAGTGGCATGTATGTAAGAGACACAGTGGCACATTGTTTTGGTCATTTGTTAACAATAATCACCATCCTTATCTGTTACTGTAATTCCGGCATACAATCTAAAGTGTCTGCACTTCCCGTGTTACACTGTGATTCCCGCTCTGCGTCATGTTTACCAGGCTCCATCTCCCCAGCAGAGCAGGAGGGCTTTTTGACATTGATGTAATTTAGTTGGCAGCTGCTCTGAAGGGAGGGCTGAAGGGGATGGGGAGGTTGGGATCGCGGAGGGCTTGTGGGGGGGTTCAGGGGTTAGAGGTCAGAATGTGCCCGGCCTGAAGCTGGCCCTAAGCAGCTGCCTGCCCCCTCACCCACCCCTGCCTCCCCCCTTCATGCCCATGTCCCCCTGGCACGCTCTGCACTCACCGCACATGATCTGTTATTCCCTTTGATGTCTTTCCTCGGGGAGGCGGTTAGAAAAAAAAGACGGAAAAAAAAAAGAGGATGAAAAAAAGCGTAAACACCACCTGTTTATCTGACGCCGGGTAATGTCGGAAAGGTAGTCTGCAGTCTTGTCATAATATGCACAGGAGGCAAATAAGGGGGAAAAATTACAAAGGGAAAAAATAAACAAATGGCATCAGAGAGGAAGGCATGACGAGGGAAGTCGCATGTGCATGCCACTGCAAATTTGGCGGCCCCAGTTTTGAAATGCTTTCAAAGTGTGTTTTAAATTGCATTAGAGGTTTATGTGGGGACAGAATATGCTGTAGGAAAACTGTCCTATTACTCTTTAATGTGCTAAGAAGGAGACTGCGATGTAGAACAGGCAATATAGCATTGTTATGATATACTATTATTACACAAGTGATTGTAGTTTTACAAGACCAGGACCAATCTCGGTCCAGCTTCATCATACCGCTGAAATGATAACAATGGTGTCAGAGCCAAGCTGAAACGAACCCCAAGGCTCCACATGCAGTCTAAAGTGTATAAGCTAATGACAGAGCTGACAGATCCAACCAACTCTGTTCTTTTCACCCTCAGCCCACACTGCCTTTTTGGTGATATAAAGCTTTCCCATTAAATATGGAAATTTCCGTTTCGGTGACAGATACTTCACAGAGGGGGGTTGATGGCATAGACGGTGTTTTTTTGGAAGGGGAAGTGGCAGATTTTGATTAATGCGACCTTATCTGGTTCTGCACATGGAGGCAGAGGGGTTGCTGAGCTTGGCGGGGGTGGATGGCTGCCTGTTCTCTTCTGTTTCCAGGCCTCTTTCTCTCCTCTATTTGAAATGGTTTCAGTCGCTCGCTCTTCGCTTCTGCCTTCTCTCCATTTCCATCCTTTTGTGGTTGGCGCGCTCATCTTCTATCTCTGTTATAGTGTAAGCTGTGCTTTAACGTCTTGTAGGCGCACTGTTCTTTTACTTCATATGACCTTCTGATAATTCTGTCTGATTTCCTTCTTCACCCTCTGTCCCCTCTTCACCTCCTCAGTCTCTTCATCTCTATCCCTGCTTCCTTTTCCTATCTCACTTAGACATTCCACTGCTTCTGTTAAAACTGCTCATCTCCCAGCTGCTTCATTCTATCTTCAATTTCCTATCCTTTACTGATGTCCTGTATCCTCTCCTCTCCTCCTGCCAGGCATAGAGTGAGGTGCAGCGGTGCCGCTTCCCCCTGTCGCTCCATCACCACCTGGCCCAGTTCCAATGCTTTTAGTGAGAGCTATCTGTCAAGCTATGAATAATACAGGCCCAAGGCTGGCGTTAGCTTGCTAGCTAGCTATGTGGAATCCAAATGAGGTCTACAGCAGGAAGAGAGCACTTGACTTTTAGCTCGCTACCACGATCTCTCTACCAAGACAGGCAATTACTCAGCCCACAGCCCCAGCTGCAGCCGTGGCAATCATAAACGCAACCCCTCACATCCCTGTCTGCAGACACACTGCACAGACACACACACTTTGCATGTATAAGCAGACACGCACACCCCATCGCCTGATCCAAATAACACCAAAATTTGTCTGACATGGAGTCGAAACAACTTTCTTGCCACACACGACAGAAAATACATACCATAGTACTATCTTGTCTGGCAGCGAAAAAGAAAAAAATCCACAAAGTGCATAATAATAAATAAAAAGCTCAAACTATTTTTGACAGTGATGTCATGGACAAGATCAGGGCACTGATTTTAGGTGAAAGTACATCTACAATATAATATACATAGCCACGCTCAACAAACATTATGAAGAGGAGATCATCTCAAGTGCAGCGAGAATAAAAGTTGATTAAGTTAAACGTTAAAGCAAACTCAAACCCACCAAAGGAACTCTTTATGTCATTCTTGTAATCTATATTTAAGATAGCACTGAGTTCCAAAGATCTATTAATCAACAGTGGAGTAACTTCATCATCTCTTATCTGTTGATTAACAGGAGACATGTCGTCCACCTTTATCACACTTGTTCCACAGTTATGGCGGGAGGCTGAGAGGGCTATCACATGTATCAGGCATATGACACATGTATAGTCGCGTAATTAGTTTTGCACCGAGGCATCCTTAGGTGACAGTGTTAACCCATCCATCAATGCTTCTAATCATTCGTTGGTGGCGTGTGGGATGTAATTACAGAGTGCTAGGCAACGACAGGCTTCACAGGTAAAAATAGTCATGCAGGATGAGAGACTTCTGCATGTGTTTGGTATGTAGGGTGTGTGCACAAGGTGTGTGCGCATGTGGGCGGGAGGATGCGAGTGTGTGGCTGTGGGTGTGTGCATTTGCATGCCTGCGTGTATTGTGGTAATGAGATCTAGTTAGTGATGCTCCAGAGTGTCTTATTAACAAATAATAACAGCACTCCTTTGTTTTTTACCTCTCCTCCCATCTATTATTCACACCTCACAGATTTACTCATGATTCATTTATAGGAGCATCTTGTGCAACCTAGAAACTAAATGTCACCCAAAACATCACTGTCAGATGGTGCTGTGCGTAAGAGCATGTGCGTAATGTGTCTGTGTTCGAATTGTATCCTGTATTGTGTGTGTGTGTGTGTATTCCATTGCTCACTGCAAGTAAGTATAGAGGTAAGTAAATATGTCCTGCATTAGACAAACCGTATTTACAGCAACAATCCAACACTGCTGCAGCAAGACTAAAAAACTGGGACGTCTGCAGTCTAGCTTCATCTGTATATGCACACACAAGTGCAAATGATAGAGTGCTATTGAAATAGATGAGTTGGATCTTGCCGGATCAGTAACGAGGGCTGTAGTGAGGCCATTCTGCCATTCAACCCCCCTGTTGTGAAATCAGCATGGCGCCCTGTGTACTTTAGCTGGATTCTCTTTCCGCTGAAATTGCCAGGTTGGAGAGAGGCACTCAGCTGGGAATGCTGCTCTACATGTGAAGTAGGTTGTGTGTGTGTGAGGGCTTAGGAGATGTGTGTGTGTGTGTGGCTTGTATGTCTACATTTGTGTCAGTGCGCATTGTGAGAGCCCACGTAGGTGTGAATGTACGTGTGAACGTGTGTGTGTGTCAGTGTGTTGCCCTTTGCCTCTCTCCAGGTGAAGAGCCTGTTCTGAAGGCTCTGCTCCAGTCGAGGCCCCTTGAAGGCAGGCTGGCAGCACTTTACCCAGATAGAGGTAAACCTACAGTACACCATCTGTCTTAGCAGCAAACACTTAGTGGACCATCAAACAGCAGCCACAAGTGGTTTGACACCAGCAGGCAGCAACGCCCTACACTGCAAATAATATCTATATCCATATAAACAAGAAATTGAATGTATTCTGCTATTGACTCCTAAAATAGTGTTTTTTTATAAATGAGTCTGCCAAAATCTGCCAGTCAAGTGAGAAAATGCCAGATGCATATACACCTAATTCAAGAAAACACTATTTAAGTCTAGCGTTAGTTTTAGCACAATATTTACACCTCTACACATGTACTATCCTGAAACATGTCAAACTGCATGAAAGACAACCAAACTAATTCATATCACAGACAGAATATCTGACTTGTTTAGAAAAACCCTTTGGGTCCTGTTGAGGAAGTACGGGTCACAATATATATTTGTTTCAAGTTTTTCTTTTAAAGTCTCCAAGACAGCACCGGAGATAGGAACTTAAATGTTAGCAAAAGTTACTCAAACCAAACTAAATAATGCCTTTGTCTGGGACTATACTTTCAGCTACGATTAATTACGGATTAATCCATATTTGGTGCCCTAGTCAAGTGAGTATTTCCTGCAGCACAGTGGTGAATGTGGGATTGACTGAAACTAAAATACAGTGTGTGCATTCATGGTAATGAAAAAACACGTCACTCATTACAATAGTCTGGCTTACTGTTTTTAATAGCTTTAGGAGTACAGCTCTATGGCACTGAGGAATATTATATATCAGGGTCTGGATACAGAACTGGGTAACAGAACTTGAAATAACGTAGTACCAAGTAGTATCAAAACTAATCCAGTCACAAGATGAATTTGATCCTTTACCAGATCTACCCAGATCTAGAAAAAATAGCTATTTTGATGGTTTTGCTTTAAGCCCTACGTGTTCTTTGATTTAATGCGACGTGTGATTGACCCACTATCGCAGCTACAGCTAGCAGCTACATACAGTCTGCAGTGGTGAAGACGAGCGCAGTGTACCTAACAGAGCTGGCAGTTCAACTTGTTGAGATGCCACCAAAACCTTTGAAACGATGGCCTACACACTTCACACAGGGTGGGCAGCTGCAACATGCTCGCGAGGAAAAAAAAAAAAAAAAAAAAAAATGTATGGAATGAGGTACTCTTTACTCAGTTTCTATAGAGCGACCACAGTAGATGTTGTCCGTCAGTTATTTTTTTGCCTCACAATGTGCACAAACCAATGATCTGTCACTCCTCTAGCCCACTTCCTGCTGTTGTTGAGCTTTTCCAATGTAGATACCCTGAGACTCATTGTGCCACTCTGCTGGTTGCTTGCTGCTCTCATATCAGTCTGAGTGCTTTGAGAGCATGACATAGTAGAGAGAGCGGAGATGACTGTGTGCATGTGTGTGTGTGTGTGTGTGTGTGCGTGCGTGTGTGAGGGAGTAAATAGCATCCCAACTGTAGAGATGGCATTTAAGTGTCTCTCCCTTTGCACTCCAATAGTACTGCAGACCCATTACCTCGGTGCGATGTTTGTGTGTCTAGCAGCATCTGTGTGTGCGTGTGCTTGTGTGTGGCTACAAATGTATTTCCGAGCCATTCCTCCAATCATCTCAATGCTCCCACGCGGCTCACCCTCTACCTTTCTGTTCTGATCCTTTTCTCATTCATCATGCTTCCCTTCCTGTCCTCTTGCCAGAGGTCTTT